TCTACATACAGAAACTTTTAATGAACAGATTAATCAGTATGTTTTAGTTGTTTAGTGTTAACGCTTCAGTGAGTTAACACATAAAATTGTTATTTTCATCCATCCTTGATAAGATGAGGCCATCAATTCAGTAATAATATGAATGTGTATCTAAGATATTATTCCAAGAATCTACATACAGAAACTTTTAATGAACAGATTAATCAGTATGTTTTAGTTGTTTAGTGTTAACGCTTCAGTGAGTTGTTTAACACATAAAATTGTGTTATTTTCATCCATCCTTGATAAGATGAGGCCATCAATTCAGTAATAATATGAATGTGTATCTAAGATATTATTCCAAGAATCTACATACAGAAACTTTTAATGAACAGATTAATCAGTATGTTTTAGTTGTTTAGTGTTAACGCTTCAGTGAGTTGTTTAACACATAAAAATGTAGAGCCAAGCCATTCAGTCACACCACTTCTAACACATTCAAGTTATCCTGCTGTGAGTTATACCCGTTTCATTTATTTAACCAATTTCACTCTTGACATAAACACCCATATTTTACTTGTGACACAGCTGGATTATTCTAATTTACAGTGACAAAAATCTTGAATTTTATTTCCTTACCTTGGCTTCATACAGGAGTGGGCCGTGAAAACACAAAACCTTTTCTCCTAAAAAAACAGCAATGGATAATTTTTAAATATTTTCATCCAGTCTTGGAATAACTAAATCTACAACAGTTAACTATAGTTACAAATATCCAGATGGTTGTTTCATAATGTTAACTGGTCAACAAATAAGCCAAAACAAAAGCTACCACTCGATTGGTAACTAACAAGTTTTTACTTGATTATGAAAGATATTAAACAGCAAGAAAATATCCTTACCTTATCACTACTTATGAGGTTATTTATCCCAAAAACCTTCCCATTTATGGGCCTCTCTCACTTAATACTTTTAGAAACACAAAAAACAGTATAAATGTCTGCCTGCTAGTGGTACTAAGGTAGCAGAAAAAAAACAAGGATTATTTATACATACGGTATTAACATGTTAATTCATTGTGCTGGATGTAGTGTATTACTGCCAGTTACTTCTACATGAAGATTACATTATAAGGAATAAACGTGTGTGTGTGTATAATAAAAAATATTTTTTATAAATTCTAGATTTAATTGTAATTCACATAATGTTATTTATGTATTTATTGTTAGCAAATATATGTTGGAGAAACAAAAAATTTACACAGATCTCATGTCAGAAATGCAAATAATAGCCCATTACCTGTTAACAAACACATAATGGAAAAATATTGTACTTTAGAAGAACTTTTACTTCAAATATTTCCTTTTAAGTATTTTTGTCAAAAGAATAAAATATTATTTTTATGACAATTATTTTTATTAATAAATTTAAAACCACATTAAATGTTACATAGTTTAACATACAGAGGGAGTTTAAAACATACATAAAGCTTTAAAGTAAAACAATGCAGTAAGTTTTACATTGCTAAGTAGGTCTTGTTAGAGAAAGCTTTATTGTAGAAACTGAAGAGTATCCTGGATGATAGGAAACCGGTATTTTTAAATATTACAAGAAACTGATGTTACATCATTAACTAATAATCAAAACTCTTGTTTGAACATTATACAATGCATGTGATGACATAACAGTCATCAATGAATATAAAATAAAGGTTAACTTTAGGAGGTATCAAAAACCAAGAGCATAATTAAAATAATATTTAATAATGAAAGTATAACTGCTTTTTTTAATGTCAGTACGTCTGAGGAGGATGTTTAATGCATCAGTTTAATATACTGTAATAATTTTTACTACATAATTAGATAAAAATCTCGTTTCTCCATAAAAAGTTGCCACCAATAATGGAGGCCAACACTTCACGAGACTTTAAAAGAAGTGTCAGGAATTTTCTGAAAATTAAAGAGCAAATTTTTACTTTTTTTTCACGAATGGGTGCGTAAGGATAGCCTGTCTACAAGTTATTATACGTTACAGTTACTACTTTGTTTTTTATAGGGTGTAATAAAAGATATCTTCATAATCCACAGCCAATTAGTCTAACTTCTGTAATGGGGGAAATTACAGCGATAAAAGAAGTTTTACAGAATCATTTAACGAAATATGATACAATAAAAGAAAGAAAATTCAACAAAGGAAAATTTTTGCCTGGCTAATCTGTTATTTAGAGGATGTGATGCGTTACCTGGATTTGGTAAGACAATACAAGTTCTAGTTAAGACAGTTTTGTTTACAGGAAAATAGTTAGGATTTTACGGGAATATATGACGAGAATTAATAATTTCCTAAAAAATAAAGGAATTTTTACTTTTCTCCGAGGTGGATGTGCAAGGCTAACCTCACATAACCTGTCAGAGAAAGTTGAACAAATGTTTTATCTACGTTTTGATAATCCAATAGCATCACCTTGCACTTAGTCAAGTATTAATAATCATGATAGTATTATTACCTCAATTATCAATATCATTATTATAAGTTCTGCCTACAGGTAAATTAGAACACTGTCCATTTCTGCAAATTGCAGCCATATCCTCATTACAATTTACAACAAAGTTTCTCTTAAATATCTTACTCATAATATTATCAATAATACAAATGTCATAACTTAGAAAATTCAAAAGAAATAAATAAATATATATATACATATATTTACCTTCCTGATATCTGAACTTCGGAGCCATAACAAATTCAAACTATCCCAGTATAACCCCAGACCGACATCAAATACAAAAACAGTCTCACTTCTCGTGATTTCTCGCGAGAAAAGTTATGTTTTCAGCATTATAAATTAAACTTTTATGTAATATTTTGCACACATGTGCCTCCAAGTAAAAGGTTTCACATTTGACTGAAGAATGACAAATATCCCCTGGGGACTCTCTAAGTAATTTAAAATTATCAATAAATTTCTATTCCATCGTGCGTTACAGTTTTAAAACATTTATGAAATAATCTTGTTTGTTTGTTTTGACAGCAAAGCTACATAGGGCTATCTGCTTTATCCACCAAGGGTAATCAAACTCGGATTTTAGCGTTGTAAGTTCATAAACTTACCGCTGACCCACTGGAGTAATTATGAAATAAATAAGTTCGGTAGTATTTAATAGTAGGGATCGTGATGAAACAAAATGGCAATCATAAAAATCTCCCGTTTAAAACCACCTTTAAAATGTTTTAATATTCACAATGACTAATTCACAGTATTGGCTGAGTAAAACTAAATCTTAATGTATTTATAAAGCCACCTAAATCATTATATGCGTGTTTATGGAGTGAATCAAAATTTTAATATTTCACCAAATTTGCATTTACGTAACTGACTTCCAAGACAAGCGTACAGAAAAAAATGACGAACCTTATCGCTCTAATTCTTTCACAAAACTCTTCCGTCTGAGGTCCCAATGATTCC